GATGTATTGATACTTTCTATGGTTTTATGAGAGTATTTGATTCATTACATGTTCTTGCATACTAGATCTGTTATGAAATCCATGTATCATTATGAATGATGCTTAACTCCCTAGTCTTGTGTCATTATGGGAATGATTACATAATAAGACTAGTATGATGTGTGATTGATGATCACATAGATGATCATAAGTATTGGATACGATCACAATCATAGGTATTCGTTGGAGAACGGAATACTGGATTGACCCGCATGAGATTGTCACATGGACTAGCGTCATGACTTGAATCTCATATGACGGTTCCATGATTGGATCCTAAGACCTGAGATATCTACGGAATCCAACATGAGGAGTTGCGTACTTTGATTACGTCAAACGTCCTGCGTAACAGGAGGACTATAAAGGTGTGTATCAGGTACGAAATTGTCGACCAAGAGAACTTTTCAGACCCTTTTGGAGAGTCTAGAGGGTTGAAGAAGTGATCTTAATCTCTCTTTCTCAAAGCACATCATTGAATAGAAGATTCATGTCCTAACAGACAAGTTCCAAAGGTTGGAATCCATCTCGAGGTGTGGATACGTGTAGAGGGCGAGTATTCTTCCTGCCTATAGTGATCGGACGAACACATCAATTGAAACAGGCCCCGGATCGATTGAGGTAAGCGTTCTAACGTTTCTACAAGATCATGCATGATAGGTTTTAGGGTTTTATCAAATTTTTGTTTTACATCCGCTGCGCAAACCCTAGAACCGATCTCTTAGGAATAGGATTCGCTCATGAGATCCCAGGAAAACCCAACACATGAAACACCTCAACAGTTCATCCTGGAAGTTGAACCCTTTGATGTCTGGGGGATCGATTTTATGGGCTCTTTTCCGCCCTCGTATGGACATCTCTACATATTGGTTGTAGTGGACTACGTGAGCAAATGGGTTGAAGCAGTAGCTAGCACGACGAACGACTCTAAAGCCGTTTCGCGAATGCTTCAGAGAGTCATTTTCCCTCGTTTTGGCGTACCGCGTGTTTTAATCAGCGATGGAGGGACTCACTTTGTGAACCGGATCATCCAAAATCTCTAAAGAAGTATGGGGTTCAACATCGAGTTACCACACCCTATCATCCGCAAAGACTGGTCACAACAACTCGATGATGCGGTCTGGGCATACAGAACTGCTTTCAAGACTCCGATCGGCATGACTCCATTTCAGCTGATATACGGTAAAGCATGTCATCTGCCGGTCGAATCGGAGCATAAATCATTATGGGCTATCAAGACACTGAACTATGACCTCAAGTACGCATCAGAGAAGCGCGTCCTACAACTCCACCACCTCGAAGAAATTCGTCTAGACGCCTACGAGAATGCAAAAATCTACAAGGAACGCACCAAGCGTTGGCACGACCGCCACATCCTTCATCGCTCCTTCCAGGTAAACGATCGCGTCCTTGTATTTAACTCTTGTCTGCGACTATTTCCAGGCAAGCTGAAGTCTAGGTGGTCCGACCCGTTCACGATCAAACATGTCGCCGATCATGGTGCGATCGAACTCTGGAATTCTGATGGTAAATCATTCAAAGTCAACGCCCAGCGGGTGAAGCTGTACAATCCTGAGGAGCCAGCCACCGAGAGAGGTACTATCCCCCTCTCCATCCCTCACACTGCTTAATTCCACCATGGTCGCCGCTCCCGACCCTAAACGAGCACGTTCGGATTTCCGAACCCATATCCTTTTTCTTTTATTTCCTTATATATCTTTCAATTTTTTTATTTTTATTTATTTCGTTACTTTGGTCCCTGTTTTTCTTGCGCTCTAACTCTCCATACAGGTCTCAATTTCATCAGGAACTCCTCATAACCCGATTGTGTCGCACACCTCCACCCGATCGTGTCGTTGCTTCAGTTCTGGTTTTTTTCGCTCAACCTGAAGACTCGATCGTGTCGCTACTTCATGACACGATCGGGTGATAACTTCCTTCGGACATATCGAATACTGCATAAGACCCGATCGTCTGTCATCCTATCACACGATCGTGTGTCTCCAGGTAAGTTGTGGGGGTCTGATGATTTAACCCTAACTTTCACCCCCCCCCCCTCCTCCATTTCTTTCACCTTCTCTCTTCTCCTTTTCATCTCC